GGAGGTCTAGGATTTAGTCTAGTATAAGTTGGGATACCTAGATATCAAAAAAAAAAAAATAATAATATTTAAAAGTCCCACTAAAACAATAGCTGGTGCTGCCGAAGAATTATTTCCACCAACATCGCCACCTTTACTCGAAATTCCTTGCATCCGTTTCAAATAGAGCTTGTATAGAAGCAAATGACTAGCAAATTTTTTTCTAGTGAGTCCATCCACACTCATGAGCTGCATTATGGTCTTGGGGACTGCATTTTTTATTCCCAAATGGGCCACAGCATCCACAAACCTCTTGTGCAGCTGCGGTGTCCACACGGGCCGCAGTCTCTCTTCAACGTCCGTGCCGGTTCATCTCCAGCCCCGGATCCCCCGCCACTATCATCCTCTCCTCCACCACCCCAATCAGCTGAGTCAAATTCCACTGATGAGTTAGTAGTAGACTGAGGAAGTTGCGACGACAGTGGCACAGTTGCGGCTATTTGATGTGGGTTTCTAATATCGAAGGCTAGAGCTAGATCAGTCGTAATTAGAGATTGGGATGAGGGAAAAAGTTTGAAAAATGAAGTCATTGCGAGAGAGAAGCAGCGAAGACGAGAGAGAACCTGTCGTTTAAGGACTGGTAGATAGAGAAAGTATTGTTTTAGTGGGACTTTTAATTAATCACAAGGGCGGTGGAGTGGGGGGTGAGGAAGGTGACCATTTTTTTCAAATTTGGACTCATTTGCACTTTTTAAAAATTTGGGTCTATGGTTGCAATTTTATTTTTTTGGTTAAATAGAAGAATATTTTGGTCATTTTACATCAAATTTTGGTAAAAAGGACGTTCAACGCAAAGATAGGTAGAAATAAGGGCAAAAATGTCAAAAAATGAAAGGTATGAACGTTTTTCACAATCAACTCGATAGGTAGGGACGTTTTGTGCCAATTACCCCTTAAAATAATTATATACATATTAGCACCTTTTTTTAAATAAAAAAATTCAAATTCCCCAACCAAGCTCATCGACCTACTCAATGACATCACACCCAAGTCATATTTTCTTTAAGATTCATCTCAAAATGGGACTATTTTAATTGAGTGAGTAATAGTGTAATATCTCAACTTGTAGCGTAGATTAGTAAGCCGGCCCAAGGTCTTGGAAAGTATAGAGAAAAGTATGTTCTATGTTGTACAAACGTGTGAATGATATAAACTCATGTTGGTATAACATGACCATATAACCATTGTATGAAGTGTAGAATCAATATAATCTTTTTAATTTTTAATTTTAATCTTTGTGAGCATTTTCAAACTCGCGTGCAATAAGGATTTGTGTTGTGCAAATACAAATTGGTCAAATAAGAGAACGAATTTTTTTAGATAATGGTACTAAAAGAAAACTTCTGTCGAGTGAATCTATATATACACAATGATAAAATCGTCCATTCGACTTATTATACCTTAGACCGTCATACTAAAGTGTTTCTCCTAATATTAGTAGTGAAAATATTTTTCTATTTTAAGAGCACCTTTAAGAAACTCAATATTTTTAAATGGTCACTAAAGTTTATTTTAAGAGCATATTCTATTGGGTTAATTTCACAAACGGTCATTGAACTCACACGAAAATTACAAAACAGTCACTGAAGTTTAAAACTTTCAGGTGCGGTCACTTATGTTTCGGGATGCTTTCAAAAACGGTCACTGAAGTTTAAAAACTTGCAGAAATGGTCACTGAACTTTAAAAACTTTTAGAAACGATCACTGAAATTTAAAAACTTGCGGAACGATCACTGAAATTTAAAAAAAAAATACTTTTTTCAATTTTTTGGGCTACTTTTGCAACAACTTTTGGGCCACTTCCGACCAACGATACCGTCAAATTTTGATACCGTTGGAAAGTCCACAATGTTCTCTTCAATTTTGACCCAAAATCTCCCCGTAACTCCAAGGAATTCTATCTGAAAATCGTTGACTACTTTCGGCGACTTCCAACCACTAAAACTGTCGAATTTTGATACTATAGAAAAGTCCACAATGTCCTCTTCAATTACCATCCAAAATCTCCCCCCAACTCCAAAGGATTTGATCGGAATAAACCCATAAAGTCGGCTACCCAAAAAAGCGAAAATCTGCCTAGATGTTGACTTTATGGGTTTATTCCGACCAAATCCTTTAGAGTTATGGGGTGATTTTGGGTGGTAATTGAAAAGGAGATTGTGGGCTTTCCAACGGTATCGAAATTCGACGGTCTTGGTGGTCGAAAGTTGTCGAAATGTTGCTGCAAAAGTCGTCTAAAAATTGAAAAATCTGCCCAGATTTTCGCCTTTTCGAGTAGTCATTTTTATGGATTTATTCTGGCCGAATCTTTTGGAGTTTGGGGGAGATTTTTGGTTGTAATTGAAGAGAACATTGTGGGCTTTCCAACAGTATCAAAATTCGACTGCGATTTTTTGGGTGACTTTTGCGGCGATTTTACGATCAAATCTCTTGGAGTTACGGGAGATTTTGGGTTGTAATTGAAGAGAATATTATGGACTTTCTAACGATATCAATATTCGACGGCATCGGTGGTCGGAAGTGGCCGAAAAGTTGTTGCAAAAGTAGCCTGAAAAATTGAAAAAAGTATTTTTAAACTTTAGTAACCGTTTCTAAAAGCGCCCTGAAACTTGAGTGACCATTATTGAAAGTTTTAAACTTCAATGACCGTTTTGTAATTTTCGCGTAAGTTCAGTGCCGCTTGTAAAATTAACCCATATTCTATTACTTAGAAAGTATCTATACATTTAGAAAGTTAAAATTTTGAAATATTTCAACAAACTTTTTATATTTAATACTTAATTTTACTATTCCCTAAAACATTGATTATTTTTCTCTATCTTTTATTTTAATTAATTTTTGATTAGATTATTTTATTATTTCTAAAATTAAAAATTAAAATATTTTGAATGCATTTAATTCTAGAAAGTGCGTTTGGCTATCAAAATTACTCTCCAAATTTGGATAGCTAAACATACTCTCTAAATTAAAATTTTAATTTAAATAATTTGTTAAAGTATGATTTTAAAAGTTGACTCTTTAAAATAAAGGGTATCTTATATTTAAATAGTCTCTTAATTCTCTAAAGGGACTAAAAGATTATCAAAAGATGATGTTAAAATTGAAAATTATCAAAGAGCAACTTACAAAAATACCCTTAAAATTAGGGGCCTTTTGAAAAATCATATGAATGTTTTTTGAAAGTAAAAAATACTATGTAAAATAAAAAAAGTGGCACAATGTTACTTTTTTTTTTTATAAAAATTGTCACTTTTTTAAAAAAAAGTGACACAATGTCATTTTTAAAAGTTTAGTGTCACTTTTATATTAAAAAATGACATACACTCTCATTTTTATTAAAAAAAATGATGTTTGTCACTATAAAAAAGCAATAGAAATTTCAAGAAAGCGATTGAAGAAAGTGACAAACACTTAAAAAATTGACAAATTCAAAAATAAAAGTGACAAAAAAAAAAGTGATAGAAATTTAAAAAAGTGACAAATTTAGAAAGGAGACACAATGTCACATTTAAAAGTTTAATGTCACTTTTATATTAAAATATGAAATACAATCTCATTTTTATTATAAAAGATGATGTTTGTCGCTAAAGAAAGTGATAGAAATTTCAACAAAGCAATTGAAAAAAAGTGACAAATACTAAAAAAAGTGATAAAAATTCAAAAAAAGTAAGGAACACTAAAAAAAAGTGACAGAAATCTTAAAAAAGTAACAAAAATATAAAAAGTGACACAAATGTGATGAACAATAAAAAAAAAGTTATACATTTCTCTCCACATCGACCATTTTGAAAAACCAAGACCTGCTAGTTGCTCTTTCGATACACCTCTCCACCTCTCCACCTCACATTGTATAGCTCTTCCAACAATATTTCCATCCTCATTGCCCTAATACCTTGAAACTACTCGCAAGAAGCACTTGAATTTCTACACTCTCTGCTGCCTTTATTGATGGAGAAGGGCTTCAAGCAGGAACCATGACAACTTGCCATATCCCCTTACCTTCCACTATATATTGCCAAACAACAAAACCTGGAAAAGCTAACCTTAAATACCAAACTGTCCAATTGAAAAGAATAAGTTTTCGATCAGGAGCATATAAATCACACATTTAAATTATTTGTGCTAAGATTTCTATCTCCAAAACTATCCAATTGAAAGAATAAGTTTTCGATCAAATACTAGCAAGTGATTTTCTGGACCTTAAATACCAAAAGTGAAAGCCTTTAACAGAGTTCCATTCAGCATAACAAAAGCATCGAGTTTGGACATATTATGGCAATTAAAGAGATTAACCAACCAATTAGCTAAGAATAAATAACAAACAAAAGAATTATCGAACATATGCAAATTACAGATACAACAATACCCAATTCTTGTTCCATGTAAACTTGGGGTCAGTTACATGAATTCGTTGCTGCCGTCGCTCATTCAATCCAAAACTACCTCTTATGAAATGTCCAATGAAATTAATCTGTCTCATATGTGCCAAAAATAAAAATCTGGTTCCTTAATGACTGAAAGTGGAATATTTAGTCAAATTCCTTATAAAGTTCTGAAAAAATTCTTTCCTTCTTCTTCGAAGAGCTTCTTCATCAATAATTATTTTTATCTTCAACCCATTGTCTCCAGCTATTGTAGAATTCAGAGTCAAAGTTTTTGATTTCGGAGTATGAATCAAGTGCGGGTTTTTGCGACTAGCGATTTTTTTATGACTCGATTTTTTAGAGATCCTTGAAGAGGAAACGGAGGAAGACAATGGAGCTGTGGGGATGACAGAGATGAAGGTTTTGAAATGAGAGATGTAGGAGAGAGAGATGAGTCTCTGTAATGAACAGCTTGGAAAAGGGTTGAGGTTTGGGGATTTTAGTAAAGACGTAAATAATATGGTTTATTCAAAGTTTAATTTTTATTTAGGCATTAATCTAATCTCTTAAATTTTGAGAGTATTGGCCTAATTTTCCCATTATCAAAATACGACATGGGCCTACCCGTTTGCATTCTCAGCCAGCCAGCACACTTTCCAAGACTGGCACTCTATTGAGTGAACTGTCGTGTCGTTCGTCCGTCCTGATACAAGCCGGAACCTCTTAACCCCAACCCCAACCTCACCTCATCTGGGTGCGTACAGCCATATATATATTTTTTGGCGATCGAGTTTTCGAGTGAATTATCCTCCAAATTCTTGTAATTTTAGGCAAAAACGAAGAAATAATCGAACTCCAATGATGGCTGACACAACTAAAATGCGAAAGAAAGGCTCAATTAGTGAAAACGACGTGTCTACTCTCTTACAGAGGTGTGTTTCTCATTAAGATTTAATTTTGATCGTAAAAATTCAATCATTCGTTTTGTTTTTGCCTTTTTTTGAAGGTACTCTGCGCAGACGGTGCTGGCATTACTGCAAGAGGTGGCGGTGGTTTCAGAGAGGAAAATTGACTGGAATGCAATGGTAAAAAATACTTCTACAGGGATTTACAATCCAAGGGAATACCAAAAGCTCTGGCGCCACCTCGCATATGGGGATGACCTCGTTGATTCATTGAACGATGCTGCAAACCCTCTGGTAATCATTATCAATCCCATCTATATACCGCCACCAAGTATGCATATTCGAGATAAAATTAAATTAATAACTTCTGAAACTTATGTTACGAAATGAGTAGTTTATGGCCATCTCCGGAACCTGAAAGATGCGGGACTCTTCCCTCCTTTCTCTCCGACTACTAAGTCCGTCTTTGAAAGGAAAAGGATGCTAATAATTACGTGGCAAGTGTAAGAGGTAGAACAAGGTCACCAAATATATAAGGTGTTTATTTCTTAGCACCTTCTTAAGCTGCCTCATATCGTAGTTAGCTATTTCCGGAGGACACATGTCTAAAATATGTGCTCACATTGTTCGAGAGAATCTAGGGTACGAAAATCCTTAATGCACTAGCTATTATAGGAGAATATTCTGAGATGTTCTGTATATAGGGAGTGCACACGCGGATGCACTCAACTTGACCAGTTACCAGTTTCGAGTGTATCTCAAGCCTCGACTAGTGAAAGGGTATTGAGCCATGATTTATTTCTCGATGCCAATTTTCAACCATGTTGGTGCCTTCGCCTAACTTTCTGGCTTCTCAGGATCGAGGTTGAGGTCATTCATTTCGTTTGAGTCATTTATCACTGTTATTAGCATTTACTTTGATTGATATAGTTTCAGTCAAATCAAAACATCCATTTACCCATTGGTTGGAGCCGAGTGGTATCATATACACTATTTGTTTCACAATTTGGAGCTTTTATTGTTGACTTGATTGTTTGTATGTGCTTCTATAAATTAAATGTGTTATTTTGATAAGAGCTGTTATTGTGTGCTTTGTGCACTCCAACACCGGCACCAATCAATATTAATGACTGAGAAGCCTGTGTAGCATAAAACGAAAAACACAATTTCAATTTCCACGCAAAACTAGATGTTGTAGATCCTTTTAATTTATAATATTGACTCAACTTATGGTACTGGCTATTTGTTGAGCACTATGAGTAGAAAGTTGACAGTCATCATTTTATGATGGTTATTTGCTGCAATTTTAATCCAACTTTAACCTGATACGTAATTGATGTGCTTCAGCCCTGCAAACTTTTTTACTGCTTTTGGTAGGATGACGATAGTGATTTAGAATTTGAACTGGAAGCTTTTCCTGCTGTCAGCCGCGAAACTTCAGTAGAGGCTGCCGCTTTTGTCAAGGTAAAAGAGTTAATTGAAATCAGAGTGTTACCATTCTCAATTTATTTATTTATTTTTTTTTTTTTCAGAACATGTATGGATATAGCACTATTTCCTTATTCTGATTCTTTGTTTTGATATTCTTACTATGCTACGTTTTCCTGAACTGGAAATTATCATAATTTTAGAAACATAAGGTAGATTATAAATCAAGGCTTTGGAAACAAAGGAGACTGCATATTTAAGCTTTGACACAATGTAATTGTGAGCTTCTCTACGAAATGCTTCCTAATCCACTGAAGCCCCAAAATTGTCAGTT